GACATGGAATCAGAATCAAAATCTGACTGAGAACCCGATTTGGGATCCGATCTGAACTTGAAATCAGAGCAGGATTTGGAATCAGAGCCGGACTCGGAATCAGAATCCAAATCTGACTCGGAACTGGATATATGATTAAACCGGACTTTAAATCGAAACCGGATTTATGATTAGAGCAAGAGTCGCGATCGTTATCAAAATCTGACTCGGAACCGGATTTGTGATCTGATCTGGACTTAAAATCTAAACAGGATTTAAGGTAAGAGCCGGACTTAGAATCACAATCAAAATCTGACTTGGAACCGGATTTGCGATCCGATCTAGACTTGAAATCAGGACCGGATTTGGGATCAGACCTGGAATCGGAATCAGAATTAAAATCTGACTCGTAACCGGATTTATGATTAAAGTCGGACTTTCAATCGAAACCGGATTCATGATCGGATCTGGAGTCGGAATCGGAATCAAAATCTGATTCGGAACCGAATTTGGGATCAGATACGGACTCGGATCCGAGCCGGATTTATGATCAGAGCGGTACTCGGAATATCCCATGAAACCGGATCCATCTCACCAGCTCGGTCATTCGTGCGGCCTTGAAGGCGGCTGCAAACAGCGTTACTTGCAGTGGACTTCGGCTCCGTCTGAGCCTTCTCCTCTTCTACATAGCGGCTCTCGCGAGGGCCCGATCAGATCGTGGCTTCACTCTTGCGTCCGGCACGGACGGCAGGTCAGATCGAGAAGCGCCGGTGCCGCCGTCGCCTTTGGACCGACGCAGCCAAGCCGGACAAGCGCGAGTCCCGAGCCGGCCGCCGACTCGACGCCGAGTCCCGTGCACGGCTTCGTCTCGACGCGAGGCTACACCACTGACCTTTACGTGCATTTCAGGCCGAATTAACTCTGAGATGGTGAAAAAGTTGTCTCTTTTTTTCCTCTTCATGTGCCCTGCTTTCATGCTTTCATGCTTTCATGTTTTTTGATCTGCAATCCGACTTTCGTAAACATGGCCTTTTTCCTCATCTCAAGGACAAAGCGTTTTGTCTGCAACCCTCACTACGGCCTTGCCGGTGATCATTCCTCGTCTCAGGCTTGCCCCAGCGACTGGCCGGCAGATGCATGCCTGCAGCGTGAACTAATTGCTTTCTTGTGAAAAAGCACAGTTTCTTTTGGCAAAATCGCACGGACACCAACGCCAAGCCGTAGCACTTGACAGACAGACAGACACACTTCCTTCCCCCCCAACTGGTCGCCCGCGTTGACCTTTTCCGAGGCGGTTTAGTGCAGACACATCGGAAAGTGTAAGTAAAAATAAAATAAAATTGACGTTTAAACAATTCAAGGACCCATAGCAACGAAATATATGCCATTTACGGGAATCTGTTACGGAGGGCAATGGTGAAGAGGAGAATGTGTGCAAGACAAGGGTTGAAACACCACTTGGAAAGGGTAGGAGGGAACTGAATCCCATTAGACTTTTGTGCAATCGCACAATCCGCCTCAAGTTGAGCAAATCACACATTCCGGCAGTTTATGAGTCCTGACACACTTCACCGATCGTCGGTAGAATGAAACCGCTTACAAGTCACAATCGCCACCGATTTTTTGGTATGTCCAAAAGGGTATGTGTCTAGTCGCATTTTCTGCCAAATATGGCCTCAACACACTTACACACACATACACACACACACACATAATATTCGTTGTGAGTGTATTGTGCTTCGAAAGTGCCAGTTGATCTTGCATGAAATCTGTGTCCAGTTGATTAGAGACGAATTGTCGAAATTTTCCCACATGAACATGAGCACATCTCGTCTTTTAGTTTAATTTGCCCAACAGCATTTCTCCTCCCGACTGGAATATACTAGCCTGGAATACTCCGAGGGCTGTCATGAATGTCAAAGTACCGAAATTTCCCGCAAAAGATGAAGCCGAAAGGAGCCACTCACTTCCAAAAAGACAGACATTTCGAGAAAGAGCCTCCAACTCTTCCAGAACATTAAATCAGAATGTGAAGCAGCCGTCCACTCTCGTTTTAAATTGGCTCGGGCTTAAAGGGCCTTTGTGAAGAATGGGCTTTTCACGTTGTTCTACACAAGAACCCAATAAAAGTGAGGCTTGCCAGTAAAGTGATGGTTGAATGAATCTTCGTCTGAAGCCTCCCTTTAGCCCAAACTGGCACGAATACTTGGCCAGTATCGAATT